GGCCCCTGGGGGCCCCCCCCCCCCCCCGGCCCCCGCCCCCCTGCGCCTGCCCACGCTGCCCTGGTGCAGGGCTGCTGGCAGGTGCCAAGAGGGGGACCCCACTGCCTTGCTGAGAAGCCCCCCCTCCCCACAGTGACCCCGGAGGACCTTCTCCTGGACAGTCCGGAGAAGCCCACGCCAGACGGGCCCCTGGAGACAGCTCTGGACCACCTGAAGTTGGGCAGCATCTTCACTTTCCGTGTGACGGTCCTGCAAGCCTCCAGCATCTCCGCAGAATATGCAGACATCTTCTGCCAGTTCAAGTGAGCCCACGGTGCCCCCCAGCCCCCCTGTCTCCCACCGTGCTCCAGCCGTCACCACGGGGCTGGTTGAAAACATCGGGGACCCCAGCCCGCACACCTCTGTGCCCTTCATGGATAGGGGGGGCAAAAGCAGGATGAGCCCACGTGCTGTCCAGTACCTTGTTCGGTCACTGGTGAAAGGCAGGGAGAGGCTCCTGTCAGCTTCGGGGGGGAATCTTTGCCCATCCCGGGTGTAGGCAGCAGCTCTGGGGAGTGCAGGCTCTTTTTCCGGTCCCTGCCCTCTCCCCTCCCTGCCCCAGCACATCCCCATCCTGAGCTGCCTGCCTTCCCTCTGCAGCTTCATCCACCGCCATGATGAGGCCTTTTCAACAGAGCCCTTGAAGAACACAGGACGGGGGCCACCGCTGGGCTTCTATCACGTCCAAAATGTACGTACCCCTCCCCTGTCCACAGCCCCTCATCCCCACGGCTGCTGGGGTCTCTGCAGGGCCGTTGGCTGGATCTTCTCCCCAGGAGAGCAGCTTCCTCCTGGCTTTCCCAGCCCATTGATGCTGCCCAGTTAGGGCAACCTTAGACAAGGTGGATACAGGGGGGAAAGACCAAAAGCCACTGCCTCCCACCCAAAAAGGCTGGGATTTCTTGGTGGTGGTCTTGGTGGGGAGGCTGTCCCTGGGCCACAGGGAAGGGGGTGGGTGAGGGATGCAGGAGATCTGACACCCTCCCACCTCACCGGTGTTGTTCCTGGCTGCATCCCTTTCCCAGCCGGACTGCACCATCAGCGGCTCTTTCTCTTCCAGATCGCTGTGGAGGTGACCAAGTCCTTCATTGAGTACATCAAGAGCCAGCCAATTGTATTTGAAGTCTTTGGGCACTACCAGCAGCACCCCTTCCCACCCCTCTGCAAGGACGTCCTGAGGTGGGGGACGTCCTGCCTGCTGGGTGCCAGGGCACCTCATGCAGCCGGCTTACGGGGGACCCAGAGATGG